GTAATGATTTTTTAAAAATTATTTGAGTGGATAGTGGTATAGTGGATGCATAATGTTACATTAGTTTCAGGTGTACAACTTTAAGTGATTTGACATTTTTATTTTTTTATTTTATTTTTTTAATTTTTTTTAACATTTTATTTATTTTTGAGACAGAGGCAGAGCATGAACGGGGAAGGGGCAGAGAGAGAGGGAGACACAGAATCAGAAGCAGGCTCCAGGCTCTGAGCCATCAGCCCAGAGCCCGACACAGGGCTTGAACTCACGGACTGCGAGATCGTGACTTGAGCTGAAGTCGGACACTTAACCGACTGAGCCACCCAGGCGCCCCAACATTTTTATATATTATTCTGTGCTCACCACAAGGGTACCTACCATCTGTCCTGTTATATTGCTCTTACAATATCTTTGTATTCATTATGTATTCAGTGTATGTATTCATTATGCCATTTATACCCATGACTCACTGAAGTTCAGTTAGAGGATTTTAGAATAGTAAATATTCTGGTCCCATTGTGTTCAAATTTGAGATCTTGATAAATGATAATGATATACATTTTCTTAGGGTTATGGGAGAAAATTTCCTCCATGTATTTTGATTTCCATTTGTGTACAAATTAAGGAAATGACATTTTTCAGGATTTTAGAAAAAGAGATTATATTGTGTACTGTTTTGAGTGAGGATAGCCTTTCAGTGGCATTTGGACATTTAGGAGGAATACTGGGTTAATAAGACATGTTGAATAGAATAAACCAGTTGCTATCCATGACTAAAAACATGTTTGAAGTAAAATTGAATCTCTCAGACGGAAAGACAAACTTATTATTTCCTCCCATAGTACATCTGTTTAGGGCTGGCTGACTAATCCTTTGAGAAGTTGCTGAACTTCCTCCAAGTGCTGAAAACCTAATTCTGTTTTAAAAATAGCTGTATGTAATCTTATCTTCATACGTGTATTTTAAGAGTTTAACAAAAAGGATAATTATTTTTACAACTAATGATTTGTTAGACCTAGATTCCAGTTGAGGCTTTCTTTTTTTTCTTTTTTTTTTTTTTTTTTTTTTTTAAGGTGTCTGGGAAAATTTTGTCCAAAAAAATACGGGGTTTTTGGGAAGAGAGTTTGGTTTTTTTTTTTAATTTTTTTTTTTTTTTTTTTTACATTTCAGTTTGATGTTAATATCTCAAATATGTGAGAATAGGAAACTTTCTCCTGTGAATTACAATAATAGCTGTAGATGCATTAGAATCATAGAATCATGCAACAGGGTCCCTCATGAAACTCCTTAGCTTGTCTGAGAAATCGTGTACTAATAACTCTACCAAACCAGCTACAAAGCTGAAATAAATTACATTGAAAATACGTGTCAAAGTATCAACCTAAGTGTTTTTAAAATCAACCTAAGTGTTTTTAAAACTTCTAACTAATTTCTTTGAACTCCAGCATTCATAAGCAATTTGTAACTGAAATGCTCATGACGGAAGAAAAAATAATTCTAGGGAGTGGTCCTTTTCATAGACTACCCTTATTTTTTCTTTCCTGTGGTGGATTCTTCTTCACTTTGCTCCTGCACTTTTCCATAATAGTTAATAGTGCAAATTTCTCAAGCCAGACTGGCTGTTTATACCATTACCACCTTGGGCAAGTTACTTCTTTGTGCCTCCATATCTTTATCTGTGAAAGAAATACCTCACAGCTTTGTGGTAAAGGTTAAATGAGGAAATAACTTGCAGATCACTTAGAATACTGGCCAACATGGTATAGGCATCCCAAACCCAAAAGTGTTCACTGTTCTCATGGTTCTTCTCTCACAGGTCTCTTTCCCCTGTTCTGTATTTCTGGCATCTCTTCCTTCAATGTCCATGTTCCCAGCTCATGTGTTTCTCTTTTATGATTAGAGCAACCAATGTTAATAGCTTACTGCTTGCTATTGTCTAGGCAAATTTTACCCTATTTTAGTCATTTCTTAATATAACACTTGGTTCTCCGCATGGTTTTCAAAGAATACTTTCAACTTCTGTGTTTTGATTGGGTTGACCGATTTTTTTATTTCCTTCCCAGGGCAGTTTCCATTGAATGAGTTCTATTAGTTATGTTTAAAAAGAAGGAGAAAAGAATACTTAGTTAGTTAATGTGGTAAAACTGAGTGATTTGTAATGGCTTGAATACCTGTCATCAAGGTATGTCTTTTAGCACCAATTCTGGCTTGGTAGTGTGGGGGCCAGAATCACTTAACTATAACCGTGGCTAAAATGGATGACCCTGGTACAGCTATTAATTTAGAGTACAACATGGTATGTCTTGTATTAGGAGTCTATGCTATGTATGGATGTCAGCAAAAATCATTTACAAATTCTTGCTCATGAACTGTCTCTAAGATAGGTCTTTAAGCACTTCCTTATGTCATTAATAGAAGACATGAGACAAAAGGTGTGGCAGGCAGCTGTTTGATCTAGTGAACCTTTTGGTTATAAACAATGGATGTATGAGCTCTCCTGTTGATAATTATATCTTTAAAACTTTATTTTTTATTGAGCTAGTTGTCCTTTTTATGTGAATCTAATTAAGATGTATTTCCTAAGTTAATATATATTTGGTAGTCTGTTTTGCTTCTTCTCTGTATTATATATAATATGTTAAGGTGGTAGTCCTTGCATGGAAGTTTACTTGTGGTTAGGAAAAAATCATGAAGGCAGTGAAAAGGATAGTGTCTTTGTTTTCCTTGCTTAATCATGGGGGCTTTTCCTCATCAGGAGCTCTGTGGTTTTGTAGCTCTTAAAACAAACACCAGCATTCTCTAAGAAAGAAGCAGTATTTACATGTTGTATTATATCTTGTATGCTGAGATCTCTTTTTGAGAGAGAAACATATGTTTGGTGAGTTCATGTTTCTTGAAATATACATGATTCTTCAGACTGGAATGTAATGAAATAGGACTCCCATTTGAAAACCAAAGAGTTAAGGCTACAATAGAGGATAAAAGTGATCAAATGATTAGCCAGGGGCTAATAGAAATTCTGGGAAGAATGACAGATTGTGTATTAGAAAGAAATATGATATCATATTCATTGAAGCTTTTACAACTAAAGATCTAAAAGAAATAATAGAAAATTACTGAAAGAGATGAATGTCTGAAACTTTAGAAACGCACGTGGTGTTGGATTAATCCAAGCAAGAAAGACTGATGGGCGGATAATAAATTACAATTGTATAGGAAGTCTGCATTCCTTGTGTTCAGGGTACTTTTGTCTCTTTTTTTTTCCTTGCAAGATACATTTAAGCAGCTTGCCAGTTGCAGAAAATTCAGCTCATGATTTTCAACATCATACCATATGTGTATGATTCTTTGGAATAGATAAAGTATTATAAACAAGACCCCAAATCCTTGAGTGAAGGAGGTTAATCTAAACCTTCCTTCTGTTCTGTGCCAAATTGATAGCATTTTTCCTTTTGAATGAATGATACAGAACACCTTTTCACATACAATCAATTGCAATGCCCCAAAACTAAAAGAGTTTGAAGAAATGTCCTGTACTTCTGTTGGGCAAAAAGCTATACTTCAACAACCATACTAATGCGGGAAAATAAATAGTCATAAACTGGAAAATGTGTGTATACATAATGAATTTTCATTGAGGAGAAGTGAGTATTTACTTAGCCGTTCTAAATTTTATTTTGCCATGGGTACGTTACTTTACTAAAAAAAATTGTGTATGTGTGTTTGCATGTAATTATTGTCTATCTTCATATAAATTTATGTACAAAATAGTATATTTCCTTTTTTTCTTTCTCCAGTCGTCACATAGTACTGTAATAATTGTGGAGAAGTTCAGCTACGTTTACACATGTTGTTTGAGAAAAATGCATTCTTCTTTTTAAACATTTGAGCCTTTTAATCAATTTTTCACCAGATTTTTACCATTCAGACTTGGCATTCATTTGTGTTCTTAGTTTTTGTAGGTCCAAGGAGAAAGTAAAATGTTTCCTGAAATATAAATAAGTAATAAAATTAACGTGCGTACAGAGTACACTCTTTATTCTTCTTGGACATACTCTTGTTGGCCCTTTTTTAATATACACTTAATCTCTGGGGGAAAGAGAGATTATTACTCTGTTAAACTGAAGTTCTGACTCTAATCATCTGGGTTTCTATGTACTTAAACATGTAAGCTTAAACTCAAGTATTTACATATAAATGAGTTCTATGTTCTGTAACCATATTAAAATATTTCCTAATATATGATGGAAGGTTTATAGGATTTTTTTTATAGCTGCATCAGAAATGGGATCATTATTAAAATGCTTTAAAAACTACTTCTTTCTTGGATCCTGTCAGATCAAATGTAAGAAATAATGCTAGCTTCAGGTTTTGATTACATAATACAGATGAGCTCTGTTAATAAAATGGAATATAAGTTGTACGTTTTGTCCATTTAATATGCTTAGCACTTACCACTGAATCTTTTCTAATTAGTTTTAGAGGACAATTAAAAATGTAACTCATTATGCACTTTATTTTTATTTTATTAAAACATGTGAATAATGTGTTGGGATCAAAGAAATGGAGAGGAAGGGAGTGAGACTTCTTTGGGTGTGGGGGGGTCTCTCTCTAGTACCTATCAAACTCCTGTTTCTGTATCAGTTGTTGCTAAACTAATGTCTAATGCCTTGAACAGGATTGATAACATACAAACGTGTGCAAAACATCAAAAAATTTTTCATTTATAAATTCCCTGTAATTAAGACCCTTCCTTTTACCTAAATAGTTTGTCTTGGGTTTGAAATGTAAACAAAGCATCTATAATGAGCTACCAGTTATTCTCTACACAGTTATTTATCTCCATTCCTGGCGTGTATATACCTTTGGGATAATGCAGTATGAGTTAATCTTCCACATGTTGTCAAAGCCCTAATGCACATCTGTGTTTCTGTATAAATTATTCTTTAAATGGTTAAGAAGTATAGAATTCTAATAGAAACTGTTTTTATCTTTTTTTGCAGCTATGTCATCATATCTTGTAATTATTAAAACAGAGCTTCCTGCTGCTATTTCAGAATTTTTGTCAGGAGGCCATACTGGGTAAGAAAAAATATTTCCCGTTGTGTCCATTAATTTATTAATTCAATAAGTATTTATTCATGATATGGCATATTAGGCAAAGACAGGAAGGAACTGTTTCTTGGAGAAGAAAAAAGGAGAAATTTCTTCTTTTGATGAAAAAATGAGGTGGGGAATGGGGGTTAGTGGAAAGTCCTGCCCGTAAAGGTCTTAAACAAAGGAGGGGAGTGGTTAATACTACTGTCGCTTTTCAGCAAACCACAGTGATAAAGTTACAGCCACACTTGTGAATTTCTATTCTAAAGCAGGGTTTGAAAAAATAAATGGTTTGCAGGGATTTAATTATTTCATTTCCTGTTTTTTAACATTACTATAAACAATACTAAACCACAGTATACTTCCTTTCTCCCTTATTTAAAAAATACTGGGTTCTAAAGACTATTGACTCATCTCTTTTTATGGGAAAAAAACAATTCTGTTTTTCCTTGCACAGGAAAAGAAACTTTGCGAAGAATAAACTCGAAAAGACAGAATAAATTCTTTTAAATGTCATCAAGTTATTTCACATAATTTCTAAACCATAATACAAAAACCTATCAGACTTTTTGATGTAATTATTTGGCTGTTGTGCTCTAATATGTGAACTTGTTCTGGACTGAAAGGCAAGTTTTCAAAATTAACTTTTTAGCTTTTGTAACTTGGCTTCCATGAAAAAACTCTACTTAGACAACTGCAAATACATATTTATAAGGAAAGTATGGTGTACTTCAGATCTGAATAGGAATCGAAGTCCCGCATGATTTTTCATCACCAGAAACTATTGTGCCTTTGTGTAGTACTTTACAGTTTATAGGGTTTCCACATTCATTATCACATTTGGTGTTCACAACTGCCTCATCTACAGCTTTATCTAGTTACTTTTACATTTTATGCTCTTAGTTTGGTGAACAATTGCTGTAAGAAATAGCTGTGTTAAATTCACTTTTGCATCGCTGTGAAAATAATGAGGACAACTTCTGTTACTCAAAAAAATTCTATGTGACAGGTTTATTTTAAGGTTTAGGACTAAGAACTCAAGGCCATGAGAAGTAGAATCAGGAATGTTAGACTAAGAGTAAGGAGACGTGTTCTATCCATGTGACATTCAATGACCTCAAGAAGTTTTACTTCTTTTGGGCATATGACTTAATTCTGTGGTTTGGGTTTCTTCACCTGGCTTAATGGGGGTACCAGTGTTCTTAAGAACAACTTCTTAAGAAAGTTGTTGATATGATCAAACAAGATATTGTATATACAAATGCTTTTTGTAAGCTGATAGCATAGTGTAAATGAGGGGAATTAAGAAATTCCGTAATGTTGTGTGTCAAATATACCCGCAATTAAAAATAAAGAAATTTCAATAATAATAACTACATGAAAGGTGAATTTGCCCTGTTTGCTCTCCAGGAAGGTCAGAGTCAAATTTGAATGTGTTGCATAAACTGTTAATCCTAATAGTTGTCACATGTGCTTTGCCTTCTTGTTGCTCCTGAATTTGGTGACTTCTGTTTAAATTTTTATTGTCATATGTCTTTGTGGAAAGAGAAGGGATAAAAATGTATATAAAATTACAGAAATAATTAAGGTAGCATAAGACAGAACTGCCACTAAAATTTAGGTCTTCTTTCTGTAAATGCGATACTTTTACCATAGCTTCAATTTAAATCAATTGCAATTTGCTTGGGATTTTTTTCTGGTTTGTCTAAAAAAAATAATAATAAACTCCCATCTTATTCATCTTAGTGGAAAATTGATTACAATGGTATTTTTATATGTCAGAAATCGATTTTTAAAGCTGTACTTCAGAATACTGTGGCCAGTTTGTATCATCTCGGTTTTGGAAAATTGCACATCTCTTGGACAGCCTCATCTTGTTGTACATGAAATGTACATTTGCTTACTTTGGACTTCAGAATTTTGAAGAACATTAATAAGAGACTATATTAGTTGGTCAGTATAGATAAATCATTAATCTTTAAAGCTTGATGCTGTAAAATAATTAAGAAACAAATGTTATGGTAATTAACAACTGTCTAGGGCAGTGTATTTTAAAAGTTACATAGCAGTATTTCTTCTGAGTCAATATGATATTGATATGCTTTTATTTTAGGGTTTGACAATAAATTGCAGTTAAGGCCTTTCAGGTGTGCTTATTTTCTGTGAGATTTGATGTACCTTTGTGAAATATAAACCTCTAAAAAGATGTTATCAAAAAGAAACCGTATGTTCACAATATTCTGATTTCAAAAATTACTGTTAGAAGTCAGAAACTATAATACTTAATCCCAAACTTGTATGAGGCATTGGTATTTTTCACAGAATAATTTATATTTTAAAAATCTATGGCTGTTAAAAGTTGGAAGCTCTCTGTTAACATTTAATGATCTTGTCAGGGGAATATGATTGACACAATTAAGTTGTCTTGCATTTGAGTTACATAATTGATATGGGATGTGAGTAAGATCCTAATTCAGAACATATGATACTCTTGTTCCATTCCATTCGAGAATGAAATTAAAGCAACTTATAAATAAATCTGGTTTTCATTAAAATATGGAAAAAAGCATCTGCATGCCAAAGCATTTGCAATACAGCTAAGGATTTAAACTCTATATTTCATACTTGGAACATTTTTATCATATAGGATTAAATCCACAGATCAAACAAGTTTTTTAGGAAGTATAAAACTTTTTACTCTAATTCTTTTGGCTTAAAGGAATGTATATTTAGATTACAGTAGGAAAACAGGGGTTCGGTTAGATAATTCTTTTTCCCCCTTAGGAAAAAATTTACGGTTAGTATATTCTTCTAAAATTTTGATTTATAAAAGATGCTTATTTAATAGGTGCTTTTGGAGATTATGTTTTACTGGTTTGTATTTCTCAGGCTGGGTTTTATTTTGCAAGTTTAATCACCTCTGTTCTTTGGAAACTATCCATCGCCAAACACAATTCAGTTGACTGTGACATGCACATCAAATCTAAACTAACTTTACTGTGCATTACTATATTGCCTTATGGTTGAATGGTAAAGAAAAGCACTATATCTGCAATTGGCTTTATTAATGTACCTTAATAAGAAATGATTAACCAGTAGCCAAGCCAGGGATAGAGAAATTATATTTTGCAATAAAGTTTTGTTTGTTTGTTGGTTATTTATTTACTTTGAGAGAGAGAGCTTACGCCAGCAGGGGAGGGCCAGAGAGGAAGGGAGAGAGATTCCTGGACTATCAGCACAGAGCCTGCTGTGGGGCTCGATCTCACGAACCGTGAAATCATGACCTGAGCCGAGATCAAGAGCTGGACACTGAATTGACTGAGCCACCCAGGCACCCCAATAAAGTTCTTTTTATATCAGGAATTTAAAATCCAGTCCTGTGAAGAGGACAGTTTAAAGGAAAGCACCGTTCTGAGAAAAAGGAGGCAGTATCTGAGGCATGTGTTAGTCTGCACTAACATACCATAACTGTGGTTCTGAGGGACTGCTGGGAGGAGGTGACCTTGTCTTTAGTCCCACAGTTAAGTGCTTTGGGTAGTCTCATGGCTTTTGGACATGAGTGAATTGTGGTCTGATATAGTTGTAATACGTTGTATAAGTTGTATAAGTTATAAACTTCAGGACTTAAAGTGTTCCTTTATTCTTACGCAAGAGAAAAGAGTCTTTGGTCCTAAAGATTAATATGCCCTCTGCACAACTCCACCTTCATGACAGTAGGAACAGCAGAACTGTCAGATGGAATCTGCTTTGGTGCTCCTTTGGGTCTTTTTTCTCCTGACACTGCAGTGGTCTGGGTCTGATATTGGGTCCCAGAAGGAGCGTGGTTTTAGGCAGAGAGCCCTGGGCTTTTTGCTGTTTTCAGAAATTTGGTGGTCAGGTGTTCCTCAATGAGGGGTATTTTGATGTTCCCATTTTGACACTTGAATTCAAGAGTGACTAGAAGAGGAACATGCCCAATATCATTTTGTATTCTTTTTTTTTTTTTTTGACATTTATTCCTTTTTTGAGAAACAGTGTGAGTGGAGGAAGGACAGAGTGAGAGGGAGACACAGAATCTGAAGTAGGCTCCAGGCTCTGAGCTGTCAGCACAGAGCCCTACACGGGGCTTGAACTCATGAACTGTGGGATCATGACCTGAGCTGAAGTCGGACGCCTACCGACTGAGCCAAGCAGGTGCCCCGTCATTTTGTATTCTTAATATGTGTGCTCTTAGGTCCTCCTGCATACAGGAATTGAGAGGCATGTGCAAATGCAGAGAGCACATCTTTGGGTCCATTAGTGCTAGAAATACTTGCGCATAGGTTTTTGGGTTCTGACACATGCATTTCCTAAAGACATGAATTAGAGTGAAAAAGGGAAAGGTATCATCATGGTGCTATTTCTGCTGCCGCTCCTTCTTTTGCTCTGTTTAAGAGGAAGTTGCTGGCACCCAACAATACCCGGGAAAGATACGTTACAGAGGACTTCCTCTTAAGCCAGGGTACAAAAGGACACAGTGCATGATGAAGTCCATGTCGGAAGCCAGGGGTGGAAACCCATGTAGAGGAAAACCTTTTCTTTCTTTTTTCTTAAACTGAGATATAAATAACCTATGACATTGTATACATTTAAGGTGTACAACATGTCAGTACACTTCTGTATTGCAGTGTGATTACCACAGTCGTGTTAACTAACCCCTCCATCATGTTCTATTAAAGATCTACTCTCCTAGCAACTTTCAGGTATACATTATTGTTCACTACAATCAGAAGGCTGTACATTAGATCCCCAGAACTTATTCATCCTCTAATTGCAAATTGTACCATTTAACCAACATCTCCGTTCCCTTGCCCACCCCCACCCTCACCCCTGGTAACCACCATTCTACTCTGTTTCTGTGAGTGTGGCTTTTTTTGATTCTACATATAAGTGATAAACGATAATGATCTTTTTTCTGCCTGACTTCTCTCACTTAGCACAACACCCTCAGAGTCCATCCATATTGT